CGATGCGAAGAATTGTTATGGCTGCTTCGGTAGCAAATTTGAGGCTTTTGATTTTTGACACAATTGGCTCGAAAACTCCTAATTCCTTACAATCAGCAATAGCGTTTTTGTTAAGGTCAAGACCCCAGCTAAAAATGAAGATTGATAAAATAAATTTAGAGGATAACAAATACAAGATGATGAGCTTGGAAATATTTACTAATTTAGATTTGAGTTCTCTTCCTTGATCTGAGCAGTGTTGTGGCAAGCACGAAGTCTAGAAACCAATTCTGTCGAATCTAGAGCAGCATTCACAGCCAGCTGCTTGGGAATTGCTAGCATAGCACGAGCGAATTCAGCTATAGCAAGCTGCTCTCTGGAAGACATTGTGACAGCGTAGTTTTCCAAATATATGGACACAGCTGCCTCACAAGCTCCGCCTCCGGGTACAACCGTTCTGCTTTCCAAAGTGCGTTTTATTACCTAGCAGAATAATAAATAAGCTCGACTAAATATCAGCTTACCTGAAGAGCATCGTGGATAGAACGCTCCATTTCATCTACGTAAAAATCATTAGCGCCACGCAATACAATGCTTGCAGCAGAACGAGATTTGGGACCTCGAATCAGAATAAGTTCATCATCACAGATTCTTTCTTGAACAACCTCCTCGGCCTATCAATTAAAAAAAATAAGTAGATGGGGATTTCAATATTTAAAAAAGCAATTGAGGGGAACTAGCCTCTCCGAGAAGACACGGCTCAAATGACTCTTCGCCTTCCATGTTCGAAAGAGTAACAACAAGATGACCTCCAGTTGCCTTAGCGATTCTTTTTAGGTCAACTTTTTTGCATCTTCTTACGGCCATAGCACCAGCCTCGACGAAATACTTCATACACAAATCATCGATACCACCAGTGGTAAGTATGACATTAGCACCGGCAGAAAGTATTTTTTTGATGCGCCCTCTTGTAATACCACTTTCACGTTCGCGAATAGCATCTAATTTGTCTGGATCGGTGACGCAGACCTATTAAAATAATACATGTCATTCGAAACAGGAAGAAATAAGTAAGCTTTTGAAAGAATTAACTACCTGTACACCAAGCTTCATTTTTACTTTCTGTAAGGTAAAATCAAGACACGCTATCCTGGCGTTTTTAACTAATTTTGGCATTTGCTGACTGGCAACAGTGCAGTTTAAAGCGTAACCATTGACTAGAATGCTCTCACGCATAGATCTACCATGGGCTTTCAGAATATTGACAGCTTTAGTCGGATAAATATAACCTCCATGTCCATCTGGAACACGAATAGCATAGGCTGCATCTAGGCACATGTTTGCAAAATATTCAACATCCCTAAAAAGTTTAGAAAAAGTTGTCGTACAAGTTAATCAGCTTGCTAGACATTGAGGTCCGAGCCGCATTAATTATGGAATCCTTCCCAAGTTTTTCAGTGTCAAGAGCAAGATGTTCTTGAATGAATTTACAAGCCTCTCGGCAAGCTAATCTATAGCCACTGATGATGGTAGTAGGATGTATCCTTTGAGAGATCAGATCGTCTGCATTTTTCAGCAATTCAGAAGCCAGGATTACAACGGAAGTCGTTCCATCGCCGACCTCTTCATCTTGCAGTTGTGCAAGTTGAACAAGAATCTTGGCAGCAGGGTGCTCCACATCGAGCAACTTGAGGATTGTTGCACCATCATTAGTGATCGTGACGTCGCCTACGTTATCAACAAGCATTTTGTCAAGTCCAACAGGACCCAGACTTGTCTTAACGATGTTGGCGATAGAGTTGGCGGCCAAAACTAAGGCAAAACAAGATATTAACGGCAAGAAGAGTAAGTGCATAAATGAATATTAATGTAGGATAGTACCATTTTGTTTTCTAACAGTATCGCCTGATGTCCGTTCGCCACCGATACTAAGCGTGCTCACGGTGTTAGCGGACATGGTACCCTGGACAACAAAAGAGGACAAAATGACTACATGGGGAACAGTAATAATAAACAAGGTAAGAAAATTCTCGACCATATATTGATTGATTAAATGATCTACAACTAATCTAAATTCCTATACTATTTTTTAATGTTTATGAGACCCTCAGCAATATTTATTTTTAACCAGTTATTCAAATTATAGGGGAAAGTTGTTAGGGTGAATGTAGGAGAATATAGGAAAGATTCGATGTTGAAAGCCGACAAATAAAAATTTTACTAACAATATGGTATAATGGGTACTTCATTCTTAGTGTTTTTTTGTTAGGATACACCAAGATGACAGATTATATACGTCAAATCTTGGTTGCTACTATGTCCTTAGAATTATAGACGGAAGTAGTCAGTTAAATATATATTTATGTCAAAGACAACGGTCGTTCATCAGGTATGTATAGCCAAAAGGCACATGACAAATATTAGCAATAAAAGTTCTCTTCAATAAAAGTATTCTGTCAGACATTGACAGAGTAAAAAAATATGACTTACGAAAAACATAACAAAGGCTTAGTTAAAAGTAAGTATGGTTGAGGTAATGAGATATGAGATTGTAAGCATGTAGGTCAAATTAGGAAACCATTGTCCTTGCCTCTCATACTGGGGTCACTAACGTTTAACACTGTAAGAAAAGGCATGACTAGGGCTCGCTAATCTGGCACGTCTGGTATGATTGATGA